TGGGTGATGGCGTAGTTTACAAATACTCAAAACTTCCCCTAATATTTTTGCTTTTTTCTATCAAAAACATACCAGGAGATTACTCGAAACATTTTCTACAGCTTAGTTTCTCGAAAGTTCGATGTAAGTCACAGACAACATTGTTCGTGATCAATGGCTTGTTATTACATTAAATCATTATAACAACTATTTTCGAGGCATCTACTCTTGACATTACTGATATTTGAGCTTTTTGTTGTTATATACTTATTGTTTTTCAAACTTTACCATCCTTTCAGCGTCAAATAACACGCCACTGATTTTTCTACGTCGTTCCTCTGAGTAAGACATTACTTAGATTATTTGATCGTATTTTATTTCCATTCATATTCATCAAATTCTTTACCTTTTCTTTGCTTTATTTTATTTCTTTGAGTATATGTCGCATTATTATGACAGGCAAAAGTAATATGAGAGACTTCTGTGTCTTTTGGTTTTCTTCTGCTTATCGAAGGACAAAGTTTGAAACAACATCGTCTTGAATGAGTGCCAATCTAAAGAAATTTTATTGTCAAATTAAAACCGAATAAGTTGATTTTAGAAGTTTCTAATTAACGCAGTATGTTTAAGTTCAGTAGCTTCGTTACCAGCGCCAACAGACAAATATTTTTTACTTATACATATTGAACTACTTTACACTGCATATATAATGAATTAATCCTCTCATGGAAGTGACTCGTCGCCTGTATCTAAACTTCTCTAATTTTCACTGCACAGTAAAATCACCTGTAAGCGTTGATCAGCAACAACAGTATCATGTAGAAAACTATTTTATTCTTTGGCTTAATACGAATTCTGGGGAAGATACCGATTACCAAAATTCAGTATCTCAGTTATGTAATGCATTGGACGTTTCAAAAATATTTAATAATGCAGATGAATGTATTGATTACATCACTGACATTTGTGACGAAAAAGTGCATTTCATCGTTTCGATTGCATTTCTCGACCAAATTATTCCGCTTATTCATGAATTACCACAAATCGATTCCATTTATATTTTAAACTTGAATAAGAAAATAGAATGTGAACAATGGATGAAACAGTATGAAAAAATAGTGGGCATATTTCCTAACATGGAATCTATTTACGATAAATTAGAGTCAAACGTTAAAATAATTGCCGCAAAACAAATAGGGTTGATGTCGATTTCCACAGTACGAGATGGTGATAACATAAATAAACAAGAAGTATTATTTATGTATTCAACATTGCTTAAAGAAATTTTTGTTCAAATGGAAAATTCGGCCAATGTTAAATGTGAAATGGTCGAATTTTGTCGATCACAATATTCAGATAATGATTATCAGTTAAAAATTATTGATGAATTTGATAAAGACTATTGTGCCGCAGAAGCAGTCAAATGGTACACTCGAGATTGTTTTTTATTTCGTATGTTGAACAAAGCACTTCGTATATTAGACATCGAGACATTGTATAAAGTAAGATTTTTTATCAAAGATCTGCATCAACAATTACAATCTGAATCATTATCAGCTATCGGTAGCGTAACAGACGTTTACCGTGGACAACTTATGTATGCTGTTGAATTCGAAAAGCTAAAAACAAACATCGGCGGTCTGCTATCAGTTAGTAATTTTCTTTCAACAACTCCTCATAGAGAACTAGCTCTATGCTTTTCTGGATTCGGAACCTTCGAATGTTGTATCTGTTTTATTTCACATATGCACTGATTCAAATATTCGATCCTGTGTGTACGCTAATATCAAGAATCTCAGTTACATTCCCTCTGAAGATGAAGTACTCTTTTCTATGGGATCTATTTTTCGTATTCAATCCGTTCAAGAGCTCAGTAGTGGAACATGGTGTGTTAAAATAATACAAACTGCAGATAAGGATGAAGAATTGCAACGATTAGCTGAGCATATGAGATGTCAAATTGGTAACCCAACTACTTTAGATGCTTTTGGACAACTGATGGTCATCATGGGTGAATATAAGAAAGGTTATCAGTTTTATCAAATTTTACTAAATGAGTCTTTACAGACGACTTCAACTCAAGAATCTATTAAGCAATATTTTCTGCACACTCGTATAGCTAGCCTGCGCTTTGCAGAAAGCAATTATTCTGAATCATTAGTTAATTATCAAAAGGCACTTGAAATTCAGCTAGAATATTTCCCTTTCCTTGACGAATTACTTGCTGAAACATATAATAATGTTGGAGTTGCACATCAAGGCTTATGTCAACATGATGAGGCACTAACTAATTTTAAAAAAGCGCTTGAATATCAATTCAAATGTGTTTCTTTGAATCGCCAAATTGTTGCAAAAATTTACGGAAACATTGGAATGGTATATAATCATCAAGGTAATAATCACCGAGCTTTAGAATATTTGGAGAGGGTAACTAATATTCAACTAAATTGTCTTCCATCAAACCATCCCGAGACGGGTTACACTTACTTTAATCTTGGAAATATACACGGTGAGATGGGTAATTATTCTCAAGCTTTAACTGCTTTGCAAAACTGTGTAAATATTTTGCTAAAATATTTTCCTGAAAATCATCCGGAAATGGCATTGGTATACATCAGTAGTTCACTTATACACTACCACTTTAAGAATTATTCAGAATCGCTAATTTATGCAGAAAAGGCGCTTAACGCACAGTTAAACTCTATTCTGCCGCACCACCCAGAACTTGAAATGACTTATACTAGTATTGCACATATTTACAGTGCTCAAGACAATTATGTTGAAGCAATGTCTTACTTACACAAGGCACTTCAAATTGTACAAATACAATTTCCATCAGATCATGTTAAAGTTGGTACAGTCTACGAATTTATTGGTAATGTATATCATCTGCAAAGTAAACATTCCGAGGCTTTAACTTATTTTCAAAAGGTACTTGATATTTGGACGAAGTGTCTTCCTTCAAATCATCTAAAACTTGCAGAAATTTATTATAAAATTGGATTTCAATACGAAGTTCAAAGTATCTATTCCCATGCTTTAACATACTACGAAAAAGTCCTTAATTTCTATTTAAATTATCATCTGTCAGATCGAAAAGAACTTGGAATGGCTTACCGAAAAGTTGCAATCGTACATGAGGCGCTAGATGATTATTCTGAAGCATTATTCTATAATGAGAAATCACTTGAAATGTATGAGAGATGTCCATCAGTGGATAGTTTAACAGTAATAGCCGATATACATGCAACTCTGGGATATATGTACGGTGAAAAATCGGACTATGATCGTTCGATCAAACATTATATTAAGAGATTGGCTATAGAACAGGAAATACCACATATCAAAGATGACGATCAGACTACTGCTTTATATCAGAATATTGGGCTCTCTTATTTAAAAAAGCACGATTATCATAATAGTATAGTTTACTACATAAAATCATTACAACTGCATGACAAATGTTTAACGTCCGATAATTTGGAAGGAAAACTGGACGTGCATGTTAATCTCGGTTATCTATATGCTCAGTTGTGCGAATATGCAACATCAATTGAACACTTCACAAACGCATTAGTCATTCTAGAGGAAAAAATGGTTCCAAAAGACTTAATTAAAATAGCACATATACATAATTCAATTGGATGGTGCCTCTGTTTGAAAGGTGATTTAGATTTAGCTATGCAATTCTGCGCTAAATCTTTGTGTGTATTGGAAAAATATTTCCCAGCTAATCATCTTGCGTTTTCAGGAGTATTTAATAGTATTGGAAATATTTATTATCGCAATGGAGATAATATTCAAGCTCTAAACTATTGCAAAAAATCGATGAATACACTTGAGACTGAAGCATCAGAAGAATCTGATTCTACGCGTGCGGAAAACTATGAACTTCTTGGTAGCATTAGCAAGAAGAACAGTGATCAATGGTTAGCAAAAGAATATTATATAAAATCATATGCACTATTCAAAAAAATGTTACCTAATGAACATTCCACTATTCAACGCATCAAAAAGGCTATTGATGAACTTAGTTAACAATATTGAATTTTATATTAATGTGAAACTCGACCTAAATTATTATACTTAGTAATTTTACAACCGCTATTTCTGTTACTAGAGACTCAGACAGAATTCATTTCTGAAAGAATCAAAAGAAGATACCACGACCGGTTTCGATCTTTCTCAAGGGTCTTGCCAGGTGGTTTCCTTTGAGAGACAGAGTTAAGGCTGTACAATGCACAGTGATACCGGGCTTCGCTCTCGCCGTGTGAAAGTTATCGCTCTTGGTTCGATAAGAACAAGAAATAGTAACACCCTCATACGGTGTGGACGGAGTTTGTGTTGCTTGTCGTACCTTAACTCTGTCTCTCAAAGGAAACCACCTGACGAGACCCTTGAGAAAGATCGAAACCGGTTGTGGTATCTTCTTTTGATTCTTTCAGAAATGAATTCTGTCTGAGTCTCTAGTAACAGAAATAGCAATTGTAAAATTACTAAATATAATATTGAATTTTAGATTATAGTTACATGTACGATTGGCTGGCTGTTAAAGGCGATAACTTTATAGTGTTTTCACCTAGGATGTATTTGATTATTCATTCATAACGACAACAAGACATTTTCTTCATCTTCTGTTAAGAAACCTTTTTTCAGGGGGGTACAGATCACTGCCTGAATTGTCTAGTTTTCTTTGTATAGAACTAGTGCAAGTGACTATAATCGACGCAAGTCTATGTTTCACATGTGTATCTTTAATGTTGAGTTAAGATTATCTTTCTGCAAAAGGCCTTATTTTTTCTGTTTTGTTTTCAACTGTTTCTTTTGTCGTCGATAGGTGTCAAGACATTTTCTCTATCGTAGTATAATTTACAGATGATTATTATCGAATGAGAATGATGATAAAATAGAATGAACAACAAAATTATTTTATTGTGTAACAAAATTATCTTATTAGTTTTCCATCACTGTATGTATTGCTTTGAAAAAAAAATATTTGAAAAAAAAATACAAATATTTTTTCCATTACTTTTTATAAAAAGCATATAGAGAACTGCCGCTTTCGCTATTCAAAAGTCAAGTTTCATGTATGTCTGTGATCCAGGATGTGAGAAAGTGCCATCATATCAAACTAATTTTTGAATGTTACTCCCTCAGCTAAGATAGAGGGCGAAATAGTGAAATATATGAAATGAATTTGAAAATATTGAAAATTCAATATCTCTTCAAAGTCGGAATTAAAATATCGGCTCGATTGCGTTCGTAAAGCTTTTTATTATCTTGAGCCCATACCAAGCTGTTTAGCTCAAAAATAGGAAACTAAATCAAGGAATACCGAAGGCGATTGGCGAAAACATTGAAGCTGATAAAAGAGCAAAACGTTTCCGAAAGTGACACGTCCTCAACGACGACGCGGATGGCGACCGTAAATACGGAATAATAATGACTCAACTCTATCGATTACTAGTAATTAGTTCACTCATTGTTCCTTTCATTTATTCTGCATTTTCAGTTGAGACAAGGCTGATTACGATTTCATCTTCTACTGAATTTCCAATCAAGAAGAATCAATACAGTAAAAAACGTCGTCAAGTTTTTGTGAGTTAGTGCAACAAAATGTGAATGATTTGTTAACGTCATTATATGCAACGAATTGCTAACATCCCAACTAATTTCGAAATCATCGTTGACAATCGGCGTGTTACATGAGAAAGTTGACCTACCCTAACGTTATGGATATAACGTTTTCATTAATGGACATAACTTTCTGCTGAAACGGGAAAGCTAGGCTCATCGCGCGGTTGTTGCTTAAGTCAACTAAATGATATTCTGTCAGTCTAGAGTCTGTGAATCGAAGATTAATGTTACTTGGGGTTGGGCGACTTTCATTAAAAGGCTGCCATTAAAGCGTTTTTTTTTAATGAAAGTTTCGGGACTTTCATTAAAATGTCTCGTGCAAAATAGCTGTGACCTACAGTTTCTGACGGCACAAGAATTTCATGACAATAGGTAACCGAGTGTGCTGAATCTGCCTGGTTTGGACGTCTAGGCCTCCAGAGACCGGTTTTCTGAAACACTAGCATTTCAGAAACTCTGGTCATCGATTTCTTTCTTTTTCAAATAAATAGCTTATATCATAAAATACATCACCACTACAAGGATATCCACCATTCCTTTTTAGATCTTTCCCTCCTAATTTTCGAGAAAATTAAATTATTATTAATTAATAAAAGTTCAAAATTGTCTTTCTCCGCTGTAAGAAAATAGAGAATAACAGCTTAAGAGCCCTGTTGATTTTCATGTCACAACTGCTATCAGATGTTGTGATGGGATGGGATACTTTCGTACCATACCATTACACGGGACGAATTTTTGAAAAAAAGATTCTATGGGAAGAAAAGTTTTTTTGAAATCCCATGGGATGGGGTGGGACGAAATAAAATATGCAACGATTTTTATAAATTTAACTGACTTTTTTTGATGAAAAGGTGGATTTTGTCAGAAAAAAGCTAGTTATTTGCAAAAAGAAATCTTTGTATTGAGAGAAAGTTAGCCTGTGTGTTACAAGAAGACTAAAAACTACATAGATTTCATAGCAAACTATAGTTGGAAAAAACTGGTTTTAAGGGATTTTAAGGCAAAAGTGTATCACTAAATCCCATAGAATCCCATGCGATGGGAACGGATGGGATTGGTTTGAAGCGGACGTTTGAATTTAAATTTGAAGAGCAGAGTTTGTGAAACAGGACTTTTAGATGAAATTAGAAATTAAATTTTACAACGGCCTGTTACCAGAGGGTCCTGGGTTCTAGTCCAAGTTGAGGCATATATTTTCTTTTCATATGTTTGTCTACCAAATTAGTCTCTGATATAGCCGTTGTAAAATTAAATTTCTAATTAAATTTGAAGGATTGTAACATGGTGGCTAGATAGCCCAATGTGTTCTCTACGATTACGATCTACAAGGTCGATCTCTCTGTCTGTTGTGGTTCTCGAATGGTAGGCATTTACCCGACAAAATGGTAACGAATTACGGATGACTCAGGAAAATGTGTGCCATTCGATAACCACAACAGATAGAGAGGCCGGCTTCCGCAGAATTGTAGAAAACACTTTGGCCTATCTAGTCACCATATAAATGAAAAATTTATTGCAGACTCAGAACCTAGCAACCTCATCGCCTTTTATCCGTCAAGTATATCACCTGAAAAGCCGAGGTTTTTAGCACAAAACATAAGGTGCAGGCAATTCAAACTTCAAGTAAACATTTTTTTTTGCCGTTTTTTTTACATCATTTGATAGAGTGAGAGTTGCTGATCACGAAAAACAACTTTTTACCTTACACAAATATCTTTTTCAGGTCGGAAAATACGAAAAAATCGAAGTATGTCGTAT